TTTTTTTCCTGTTAGGTTTATTTTCAGGTGCTCGTAGATGCTCTTCCTTATCTGGATACGGAGTACAATGACGCAGATCGACAAACTGCATTGCGTCTAATTGACCAAGAATGCAAGGTAATATTGTTGCGGAGAAGTCTGATTCTTTTTAGTTCTCGAAACATGTTGAGTAGACAACTGAAAGCTTTCTTGCACTGGATGTAAGCCTTGACTTAGCTCGTTTTATGCGAATTACAGTATTGCATCATAGTATGTGTGAATCTTAGTGGCATGATTATAGTAAGTTTCAAAAAGGACATCTTTTGATGCACATACCCGTGTTCATGATTTAAATGTCGTATTCTGTTTTTTGCAACTTTCACGTCTCTTTCACAAAAAGGAAAGAAAATCCTGGTATGTACGAAGTTTGTGCAAAAATTATGTACCCTTTCATATTCATAGCATGTTTTTCTCTATTCTGGAAGGACTGATAAATGTTTAGGTCTTCCGACCAACAAAAAACTACCTGAAACATCTTCCTGTTCCTGATTTTGATGTATTTCTAACGCCTTGCATGATGAAGGAGCACGCTAGAATGTCAAAGAAGCAGGTATCGACCCAACTCATTGCATAACTAGAACATTTGTTAACTTTATCTTTTTGCTCAAGGAAATGCCAAAACTCGACATGAGTCGCTGTGAGCTGCCTTGTCCAGCTGGGACATCACGAGCTGGCGACAAAGTTCAGTGGAGAAAGGTGGTTACCATGCGATTCTTTTTTAGAAGCTGATTGTTTGCGTAGCCTATTTACGTGAACTGCAACTTTTTGAATCAGTTTTTGAAACTTATTTTTAGGCCATAAAAAATGCCAAAGCTCAAAATGAGCATCTCGTAATGCGGCAGATCAACTTGGAACTGATGGAAGAGTATGCTCCTGAAAGTTATTTGAGAAGAAACAAGGAGCTAGAACAACTTTGCACAGAAGCGGAGCGAGAGCTTAGAAGAACCAAAGAGCAGGTGAACGACTAGGCTGTTGGTATTTTTGCATTGCTAATTTTTGTTGTTAAGGTTATGGAAATTCATGCAAGGCGTAAGATGGCGCAATTAGAGGCGGGAAGGCAGCTCAAGGAACTTGAAGGTAGCTGGGTAGCTATGGTCACCAATAACTACAGGTTAGTTGGGAGTCACCGTTGAAGTTCCCACATTTGAAAGTCGTGCGTTCGTTCGGTCAAGTGAATTTCATGCATCTATAGATAATCTGATAAAAGAATGAACTTTCGATAAGCTTATAACGTTAATATAAGTGTAAAATTTGTACATTAATCTCGAAAGGTCAACGAAATGTCATTGTAAACCTAGGCCTCATCGGGCCAAATCGTTATCTCATTTCGAAAGGCTTGGATGAGAATTATCTTGCATTAGAAAGTGAAATCCATAGCATATCACAATTTTCTCGAGGATGGAGCTCCGATTAGACTTCAACTACAAATTGATGCGTCTGATTTCACTCATCGTGCAAAAAGTGTATTTCTGGTTTGAAGCCCTCATTGCTCCTTATTTTATTTTTGGGTTTTTTGATGGGAAAATTGATTTTGCTCTCAAAAAATTGAGTTGTTCGTTTTTTTGTTGCGTAAGGATGCGCTCTATAGGTAAGCATCATGGTTCACCTCCAAGTTGTAATCTGTCAGCCGCTTGAGAGGCAAAATCCTCAAAAACCCGTCTTTTTTAGTCGTCGTCATTTTGTATGGAATGATAGTTGCACATGAGCATTTAATCATCGGCTTATATTTAGAATGGAACTTGCCAATAACCAGTTGGCAGCG